AGAAAAAAATATCATAAAATATCATAAGAAAAGAAAACTACTTTACAATATCTTTTAGATTTATGATTCTCACATAATAACATAAATCATAATAAGAAGACTAACCTTGATCTATGAAAGATATTTGATGATAATGCATTATAATAAAAAACTTTGTTCTCCAACCTTTTTTTTTTCTTAATTTATATCTTTGTCTTTTTTCTCATATCACATTTTTTTTATGGTTTAATGTAAAAAGAACTTTATGGCCAAAAATCTTTTTTTATTAACCAACGTCCATTAAGTTGGTTATCGTAATTTTTTATTTTATTTTATTATGACTTCCTATAATAACTAATAGATTTTTATATATTATTAATTCACATTTCGATTCATCATTATATTTCACATGATTCAGATAATATAATTAATTTAATTAATTAATTTTAACAAACATAACATTTGTTACTTAAAGATCAATTGTATATAGCAGTAAGGGATTTTTGTCAACAACACATTATTTTTAAATTAGTCAGTCAACCTAAATCACCATCCACTCAACAGATATTCACAAAACACACTTACTTCATATGTCTACCATGTTTTCTACTATTTTATACACATATTGGAAAGGTAAACAAGCTACTATAGTCCATCCCGTAAGATACATATGAAAGCGTCATACATGTTATGCTGTAAATATGGAAACGATGGCAATGTAACAATTAATAACTTACTTATAATGGCAAATGACCCACTTCTCCAACTCCAAATGATACCAATGATGAACATGTTCTTGTGGCCTGTACACGTACCACAAAACATAAAATATGAAGTCTTATGTATTAGATAGTAACACTTGACATGATGCTTATGACGTGTAATAAATGTTCAAGACAAATCCCGTTCAATGTAATATTTTCAAGCTCAACAAAATCCAACAAATTATAATTTATATGTATTAGACATTATTGGTTAAGTCGTATCAGGAATGTTGGGCAAATAAGTACATTGGGAACAATCTTAAACATGTATAGTGGTGGACAATGTGGCTTAGCAAAAACCATCTTGCCACTGTTATTAATCCGCTAAGCGGCACATAGATCGGTTAAGCAAAATTTATTTAGTTCAATCATCCGTGTTTAGCTCAATCAAATACGTGCATCAAACTACCATAAATTTGTCTTTACATCATATTAGATAATGTAATCTTCATGATCAACATATATCTGTCTAAATTTTATATTTAAATTTAAATCATAAAAATTAAATTTTTAAAATATTTATTTTTCTTTCTAATATTATATATAAGGTTATTTTCTATATTTCATTCTTTTTAGTTTTCTTTTATCTACTTTTCACTCTTTTTTTTTAATCTCTTATATCAATAAATTTATTAGATTATTTTATTTCTCGTACCTTTTCCTTCATCACATATCTATAATATCTTCAATTAATTTGTTTTTTCAATCTCTTCAACAAATTTAACAAACACAAAATTAATTTTTACTCTTCTTTTTCTTTTATTAAATATTTTATATATACTAGCTAATCTTATTTTATTTCTAATTTATCTTTATAAAGTTTTATTATATCATATTATTTTTTATTTTTTTATTACTATTTGTCATATATCAAATTTTATCTTAATAAAAATAATTATCTTTTAAAAGATTAAAAATAATTAATAATTAAAACTTTTATTTCTTTAAACTAATTAAATAAGAATTAACTTATTAAATACTTTTTTATAAAATATATATTTTATAATTATACATATTTTAAAATAACAATTTAAAAATAATAATATATATATAATTAAATATTTAAATATAATAATATTATTATTATTATTATAATAATAATAATAATAATGAGTATTATGTATAAAAAAATAAATATTTATTTTATTTACATTTTTTAATATAAATATAACAAATTAAAGTATATATTTAATTAATAATAATTAAAAATTATAAAATTATAAATATTTATTATATATAAAAATATTAAAAATAATTTATTATAAGTATAATTATTTTTTAAAAATAATATAGAAGGGTAATGAATGGTGAAAAAAAATTCAAAATATAATGAAAATGAAATCTTAATTTCTAATCTAAATAAAGATAAAAAATAATAATGGACCGATTTAAAATAATGGGGAGGGAGTAGGTAGAGAAAACTTACCCCACCCTTGTCATGCTTATTAACTTATTAGACTCATTCTTATAATTCCTATTTTTTTTCTTTCCTTTTTTTTTTAAATCATAAATAAAATTTTGATATTATGCCTTTGTATCAATTACGTTTAAATTTTAGTTTTCATTATTAATTTATATAAATACATTCGAAATTTCATCTTTTCTTTTAATTAAAATTAATAAAATATTATAAAAATTATTTTAAATATAATTTATTTTTAATTTAATTATAATAAAATTAATTTTTTTAATGATCATTTTAAATCTATTTTTTTATTTTATTATTATAATATATTTATTTTAAAATATTTAAATTTTTAGAATAAAACATAATAAACAACTTAAAATTTAAAAGGTATTAAACTTTTATGGTAATTACTTTAAAATTACCTCCAATTTAATTATTACTTGGATGTAATTATAATTTAATTATATAACTATAAAAATATTAAACATATATTTCTAATTTGGGTTTTTAAAAGTTTGTTCAAATTAAAATAATTAAATTAAATATATTAAATTTTTTCATTCATAAATATATTTAAAAAAATAACGTAAAGGTGACTTTTTCATTGAGATAGTTGGCGAATAAAAATATATTAAAAAGTATATTATTTTTTATTCTAATAATAATATTTAACGTTAAAAGTGATATATTAGATGTATATTAAAATATTATTTTAGTTAGTCTTAAAGAATAAAATATTTTTTTTACCGATATTTAACTTTTTCAAATTTAATTAATGATATATATGTAAGATTTGGATTTATATATATATAATATTATTTTTAACTTAAAATTTTAATATATTATATTAAAACATTTTAACTTATATTTGTATTCCTAACCATTTTCTCTTTAAATTTTTGTTAAGGAGACTCTTAATACGAATATTCATAAACTAAAATTTATCAATTATTTCATATTATATTAGTGAGTCACCAAATAAATAATTTATTCTGTTAGCCGTGATGAAATATTTTTTAGGAAGACTAACCATTAGAATTTTTTCAACAATAAAACATGAAACAGCTATATATATATAAAAAAATATATAATCCTAAAAATAATATTATAAATTACTTAAATTTTTTATTTTTATGTAATATAATTTATATTGTAATATAGTTTATATGATTATATTTAATAATTTTTAAGGAGTTTGGATTAGATTGAATAGCTCATTTATAACACAATAAAGGATTATTAATATGCATTAAATTTTGAATCCGTAATTGACTGATATGATGAATTAATGATGTGTTAGACAAACGATCACATCACGTCAAATCATAGACACCAAATATTTCTTCTTTTTTTTAAAAGCTATACCCCAAAGTGGTTTTTAGTATATTTTTGGTGAAACTTTTTTGTTAGAATTTAATCCTCGCAAGTTAATTAGCAAACCGAACATAAATTAAGCTTTTACATTATTCCCAACTACATTTATCTATCTATATATCTACATGACGCAAACTTAAATAATATATACATTTTTGGTTTTGATTCAACATTAAAATAACGAGTGATATAAAATACATAAGTGGAGCATAACTTTAATGGCGATAATCAAAATTTAAAATGATCACATTATATAAATTGTGTAAGCCTCCCTACAAGATCATTTAGTGATTTAAAAAGGTGTTACCAGCTACTAATTTATAACATAATCAAGGCTAAAATGAAATTTGACATTTTACCAAACAAATAAGATGCTTCTCGATTAACTTCTCCTTTTTCTGTATTGTTAAATAAATCACTTCCCCTTTAACTTAGATTTTATACATAAAAAGAGATTTTTGATTTTTTTCTTTTCACTAAAACAAGTATTCTTATAGTGGAAAGTTATAAGACTTATCTTCGGAGACGTGCATGCAATTGAAGTGAGTTTTGTCTTTTTGTTAACAAAATTTTGTGCAATTAGAAATTTGTTTAAGAAACTTAATTACCTATCAAATAGAAGCAGTTAGAAGGTTGATGCGGATTCTTGCATGAGTGATGACTCAACTTTACCAAAGGAAAAAGATGTGTCCTTGTGAGTATATATGGAGAAAAGATTGGGAGAATGGTTGGATGAGTGTGGATGATTCTTACATGAACATTACTCAAAGTCATGTTAATTTAGCCAACAAGCACCTTTCTCACCAACTATTACGTTAACGACCAACCTCTCTCTCTTACCCATGGAATGGAATCCACCCACCGACGATTTTCCATTTCTTGCTCCCCCTTCTCAATTTGTTTTCTTCTCATTCAATGCAACCAATCTTATCCACGTTAAATAAATTTACTTCACTTTTCATGTCTTCTCCTCTCCTAACTTTAATTCCACTTTGCTCTTCATTCAAACACATTGGAACAACCAAAAACACACATAGGACCAAAAGAGTACTCCACCATGGAATTAAATCCACGAAACACAAAAGGATCATTCATAAATATATCCATTAAGCAAAACATGATATAGTGGTGGCCCTTCTTCAAAAACAGTAGACACCCCAAAATGAGGCTCATCATCTTCGTCGTCTAATACGAGTCAACATTAAGAAAAAAGAAAAGCCCCTTACTGTAATATAAGATCATGAGATCATTCATCCACACTATCAATATAGCGCATGGATCTTTCCAATCATATCACTAAAGTAAGTTTTGACTATCACCCTTAACCAAAAATTTTCCCAAAAAGAAAAAACACTGTAAATATGGCTTCCATATCTTCTCTCTCTCCCTCTCTCTCTCTCCATATATAATATACTATGATTAGATGAAAGATGAAACAAACCTAGCTCTAATACCCATTATAACACTAACTATAATTAATCTTCGAAGCCCACTTTCTTCCAAATAGCATTTCTGACACTGCGCAAATCCCTGCCTTTGAGAGTCCTTCCAATCCCTTCATGCACAGACAGAGAAGCCCCTCTTGTCCTAGCGAGATATTCATGAGGGGGTACCCTAATCCTAAACCCTTGCCCTTGGTTTTGTTCATCGCCACCAAAGTTTTTTTCTTCTTCATCTTCTTCTTCTTCGTCACTCTCCCACTTGTGGTGGTCCTTGTAGTCCTCCTTCAAGATCTTGGACCAATCGGGTATGTTAACGGGCAATGAGGACGCTGAGGGCGCTCTGTCTCTCCCTCCTCCTCCTTCAACCTTGCTGCTGTTATTCCTCGAAGCTCTCTTCGGAACGGATCGCGAACCCGAAGAGGGTAACCCCTTTTTGCTGTGATCCATGGGGGAAGAGTGGTGGTTCCACAACTCAGCCTCGTCGAACTCAAACATGCCCTCTTGGGTTTCGGAGGTTGTAGGAAAGATGTAACGACTGGGCTTGGAAAGAGAACTCTTCCTTGACGCCATTGATTTTTTCTCTCTCTTGTTTTTGTTTCTTGTTAGGTTGTAGATGCCTTTGTTTTCAATTCCCAAGAGTTGAACACTTCATTTATTTATATTGGTTTGGGAGTAATGGATAAAGTTAACCCCTGTGTCTCCATTCGGTGTAATTGCCCTCACTTCTTTTAACGTGAAGCACCCTTTCCATCTTCTTTATCTTGGATTCAGGAATTATGAACCAACACGTTTTATTTTAATAATAAGTTGAAACAAAGGCTTTTTTTAACCACATATATCATTTCCAATAAACAACTTAACTTATTTACAATAATTACTCTATCCGTTTTCTGAAATTTGTTATTTATATTTTATTTTCAAAGTTTAATAAAACATCAGTAACTCTTTATTTTCTAATTAATTTACAAATATATTTATAAAATTGAGAATGTAGACACTAAGGTAGTGAAAACGACATCATTGTTGGACTGATTTTTTTGTTTGGGTTACAAATGTTTTACGAAGATTTTTGTGAAAAAATAAAATTTAAAAATAAAAAATGACATGTAGGATGAGATGTGTGGTGGGTGAATGAATGGATTTGGAGGAGGCAAACCAGGAAATAACACGTGGTGAGCACAAGTTAGTGTGTGAAGGAGTTCTTCAACTCAACCTGTTCACGTCTTTGATTGAGTGAGTGAGGCAGTGCGGGAAAAGAGTCAGATAAGGGCAAAAGTTATCCACTACACAAAACGCACACGTGGACCAACGCAATGGTGACTCCCTGTTCAAAATACCAAGAGTAAGACAAAACTGCTGCGTTTAATAACAATTTATTATTTATGCTATCATTAATTGTGCTGTCACATCACTTTCTAATGGATAGATATATTATGATCACACCTCACTCAAAAACTTCATAAAAAATAGTTAATTATCATTTAAAATATTATTTTTATAAACTAATGTAATGAGATGTAAAAAAGTTATTTATAGATTATTTTCAATTTTAATTATAAAACATATGAAATTGACGAATATAGATTAGAAATAAAAATAAAATTGAATTTTATCTTTCATCCACATGTCAATATTTTATTTAGAGTGACAATATTTTAATTTATTATAATTTTATTTTTAAAATTATTTTGATAAATTAAAAATATATAAATTATTATTATATTTATTATATTTTTCAAATTTTTTATATAACATGATCATCTTATCAAAATTTTATACATCGTATAATATCGATTAAATTTATTTTTTATTTTGTGTAGTTTTTTTAAGCATCACCTTTCAATGCTTCTACTTTTTAGAAATGTGATAACTGTAATTTATATTTTTTGTAAGAAAATATTACCTTTGAACTCACGTTGATCAAAATAGAGACTACACGTAATGTAACCAGCTCTTATACATGTGAAACTGAAAAAAGAATATTATCTTCAGAAACCGAAACACTGACTTATAATTATTTCCGACAAATTTTCTTATAAACAAAAAATTGTAAAAAATGTTTAATATTATTTTAATAATTAGCAAGAAATTTTTCACATAATATTTTGTAAATTTTTCATTCATCAATAAGGAAATAAAATATAATATTTTTTAAAAGTTATTATTTTGTAAATGAATTAAAAATAATTTATTTATTAAATACTATTTTATTAAATTATTTGTGAATATTTGTTTATTTATTAATCTCTTATTTTAAGCTAATATTTGACTTATTTATTATTTTATTTTTGTATTTTGTATATTTAAGAGGAATACATTTAGAATATTTAGAATATTGATAGAAGAAAGATGTTACAATAAAAAAAAGTTTAAACGAAAATATATTTTTATGTTGTTCTTTTTTGGTTAATGAGAAATTAGGACCTTGTATTTATTATGATTATATGTTAACTTTTATTATCATGGTTAAGATATTATTTCTATTAAAATTTTAATTCATTACAATTTTATTATTAAAAAGTATATTAATAAATTGTGTAAATAGAGTGTATATAAATTATTTTGATTTTGATTTCTAAATTAGTTGATACTCATGAGTACATTAAATGCATAATCCTCAAATTAGAGGTTTCAAAATAAATTTAGTTTAATAGATTATCTCAAAAGTATGTGAAATAAATCAAGTTAGGTAAAAAAATTGTGATTTAAATTAAATTATGCTTCTTTTGATCTATTTAAGTTAAAGTCTATATCAATTTAGATCGTAATAACTCATAAGTTTATGAATCGACTTATTTTATATAATAATAATAAATTTTTAAATAAAAGTAATATTATTTTATTAATATATATATATATATATATATTATAAATTAATTTTAGAAGGATTGATTTATGTCAAGAATAAACATTGTAATAAATTTTTAATAATAAATTATTTTAAGATCTAATAATAAAAATTAATTATTATTTCGAATTAATAAATTACTAAAAATAAATAATGATAATAAACACAAAGTTTTTAATTATTATTTTGAGATTGAATTATAATTTTATTAATAAAATTTAATTTAAAACAAAATAAATATATTTTTAATTAATTGATTTTGTATAAATATGTTAATATATTTTTTAAAAATTTAATCGAGTCAAAATTGGTCGGTACTTACTGCCTCTAATATAAGATTAGACTAAAATGTTTGATCGATTTTAAAATATAAACTAGTTTGGACCACACATTTTTTTACTTGATCCGTAGGACAAGCTAGGGATTACAAAATGGGTCAAGTTCCGATGGGCGGCCCGCCATAATATGACGGGGCGGGTTGGTGTTTCCGGCCGCTGACCCACTCGGTCGAGTCTCACCAAGCCCACTAACTCGTCGTGTCATCCCGCGGTCCGCCTAATTAATAAAAAAAATAACTTTTTATTGTAATAAAATTAATTATAAAAATAATATATAAAGTTAAAAAATTTAAAAAAAGAATTAAAAAAGTTTCACTCTCACAAAAAATATTCTCCTTACCGTAACACAACATTATCTCTCATGTTCTCCTTGTTCATCCTAAGCATCTGGTTATTTGTATCCTTATAACTTGAATTAAAGGTGTAAAAATTACTCAAGCGAGAATAATGTGAAGTTTTATCAAATAAAAAAGATATAGATATTTAAATTTTTTAATATAAAAAATATAAATTTTATAAGTTTTAACGTTATATATATATATATATATATATATATATATATATTTGTTATTATTTATTATTATGTGAATTTTATTATTGTTCTAATTTATAATTTCTTAAAATAATATATTGATTTATATTATTAAATTGAAATTATATATATATATATATTGAATTATTGACAAACAAATAATAATCTTATTATTAAATTTATTAAAAATTTTGATTTTAAATAATAAATTATTTTTTTCTAAATTATTGTGGGTCAGTCAGCCCCTTGGTTGGGCGGGTCAAAGTCTATAGTCCGTCATGACTATAGTGAATTGACTCATTTTGTCATCCCTAGGTCAGGTTGGACTGAGTCTGAGTTGTCCATTTTGACAACTCTACCCCCAATTGATGACTAAGGATCAATAGAAAACTTGAGACTCTGATTTCTCTCAACCTCATAATAGACACTAATGTTTCGTCTAAAATCGAATTTGTCTCACCTCATTTTCATTATGATAACATTGTAATATCAATGATCATATACGAGGTATTGTGTGCTTGAACATAAGGTCATGATACTCTCGTTTTCTCTTAATTCCTAATTCTTAATTGGGAATTACAATCGAGTATGTTCATTGGTTTTACATTGTTTATAAATTAATGTCACATGTAATTTATATCCATATTCTTAACCTGCCCGAATCCTTTTTAATAATAACATTGACAGATTAAAATTTTAAAACATTTTAGTATGTTAAGAATCTCGTATTATTTAAGAGTTAAGACAAATAATAATTTATATGTATTTTTTTTAACCTATTGAAACACTTTTAAAATAAAATCATAACAAACTAGAGTTTTAAAATAAATAATACATCGTTCAAAATAATTCATCATAATAATATTATCATATATATATATATATATATATATATTTCTATATAAAATATTATCTTATAAATAATATTATGTAAAATTTTTAGGCCATGTGATTTTCAAAAAGGGAGTGTTAGTGACCCAACTAAGGTGGAAGCAATTCTACAATGGGATCCACCAAAAACAGTGACTAAGATTCATAGTTTCCTGAGTCTAGCAGGATATTATAGGAGATTCATTGAAGGATTTTCTAAAATGGCTATGTCTTTAACCAGACTCACCAAGAAAGGTCAAGCTTTTGAATGGACAGAAAAATGCGAAAATAGTTTTCAAGAACTTAAGAAAAGATTAATTACTTCTTCTGTACTAGCATTACCTAACCCAACTGAATATTTTGTGATATTTTGTGATGCTTCCAAAATGGGATTAGGATGTGTTCTTATGCAAGATAGAAGAGTAGTTGCATATGCTTCAAGACAATTAAGAACACATGAGAAAAATTATCCAACTAATTATCTAGAACTAGCCGCCATCGTTTTTGCACTCAAATATATGGAAACATTATGTGTATGGTGGTAAGTTTGAGGTTTTTAGTGATCATAAAAGTCTTAAATACTTGTTTAACAAAAAAGAATTAAATATGAGACAGAGAAGATTAGTGAAATTTTTGAAAGATTGTGATTTTGAATTTGTTAGTAAAAAATCGATACAAGGATCGAAAAACAGAAGAAAGAAAATCGAACACTATACGATTGGTTAAAAAAGTCGATAAATCGGAAAGATGGTTGAAGGACGCCCGGTGACTATGAGATAGTAAGAACATATAAATCGAGAACGGAAATCAAAAATAAGAAAAGAGAGAAACAAATTGATGAAAGTAATGATGAAGTCAAGGTCAAGGGAAATCGAACTCGATAATTGGAATCGAGATCGAGGGAAACGGTTATCATACAGATAGAACACGAAGAGTGGTCTTTCACATCGCGGCTGAAGTTAGAAATCGAGAGACGGTTATAATGCATATTTGAACGTGGAAGCGGTTTTCTAAACCGTAAACTAAGGTAAAAAATCAAGGAACGTGCACATGGAACGTGGTGACAGTTTTTAAACTGCTCTTGGGAGGTTATATTGAAGGATACCTATAAATAGAACGAAGCTTGAAGAAGAAAGGGAAATTGGCAGAGACAACAGACACACAAGTGAAAAGTCTACCGGAGAACGACGAATCATGAAGTTTCTGGCGATCTGGATTTCCATTCTTATTGACTGTTTTTACCGCTTTCTTTACTTTCCCTGGTAACTTATGTTCATACAATTTACTTTCATGCAATTTACGTTTATCAACTTTAAGTTTCTGTCTTTTTAATCTCAATTCTTTATCATTTTTATCTTTATGCAAGTTAAGATTCTGCGTTTAAGTTCCTTGTCATTTACATTTCTGTAATTTCGATTCCTTGTCGTTTACACTTAATGCAAACTTGAGGTTTCCGCATCTTACATTTCTCTGCAATTTAATATTTTGCGTTGCTTTTCATTTCCATACCTTTTGCTGCTTTCTTTATTTCGCGTTTCTTAATAAAAAATACAAAAAATAGTACTTTCGATTGTCAATCTGCTCATTAGGTCGTGTTGTTAGCGTTTTTCGATACTTTGGGATTTTCGATCCTCATGCATGTTTCGATTGAAAACTGTTTGCTAGCCTAAGTAAAAAGAATCTACGTGGTTGAAATTTGATTAGAACCTAGGTCCCCTAGAAATTGAAATCGATCAAATTTTCACCAGAAACATAATTACATCACCATCCAGGAAAGACAAATGTAGTAGCAGATGCCTTAAATAGAAAATCTTTACATGTCTCTTTCTTTATGATTCATGAGATGAGTCTGCTAGAAGAGTTCAGAAACATGAATTTATCAATTACCATGAACCTTGATATAATAAAATTAAACTTAACTCAAATTACTAGTGAATTACAAAGACAAATCCAAGAGGCTCAAGTAAGTGATGAATTTATTCAAAAGAAAAAGAAGTTGATATGACAAAAGAATGGAGAAAATTTTGACATAGATAAAACCAGAATTTTGAGATTTAGTGGTAGGATATGTGTTCCTAATAATGTAGAGATTAGGAAGTTGATTTTAGACGAAGCACATAAGAGTAAATTAAGCATAAATCCAGGCACAACAAAAATGTATCAAAATCTTAAGAAAATATTTTAGTGCCCTAAAATGAAGAAGCAAGTGGCACAATATGTAACATCATGTTTAGTTTGTCAAAAAGCTAAGATAGAACATCAAAGACCTGCATGAATGCTATAATCTTTAGACATACCTGAGTGGAAATGGGATAGTATTGCAATGGACTTTATAGTTGGCTTACCACGAACAATTCAAAAATTTGATTCCATATGAGTTATCGTGGATAGATTGACAAAGTCTGCTCATTTTCTATCCATTAACATTAAGTATTCATTGGAAATACTGACTAAATTGTACATAAAAGAAATTGTGAGGTTACATGAAGTTCCATCTAGTATTATTTCTGACAGGGATCCTAGGTTTACTTCTAAATTCTGGGGAAGCCTACATCAAGCCTTAAAGACTAAGCTTCATCTGAGCTCAGCTTATCATCCTCAAACTGATGGACAATCAGAAAGAACCATCTAGTCCTTGGAAGATTTGTTAAATTCCAAGAAGGTGAACACATATTCTTAAAAGTAACACCGATAACTGGAGTTGGTAGAATAATGAAAGCGAAGAAACTCACTCCTCGATTTATTGGTCCCTGTCAAATTCTTAGAAAAATAGGTATTGTTGCTTACCAAATTCCCTTACCTCATTTTCTTTCTAATCTTCATAATGTGTTTCATGTGTCTCAGTTAAGAAAATATATTTTTGACCCTTCTCATGTAATAGTGCCAGATATAGTACAATTAAAAGATAATGTTACATCTGAAACAATGTCTGTACAAATTACATATATAAAGATCAAACAATTGAGGAAAAGACAAATTCCATTAGTAAAGATTGTTTGGAATGAGAGTACTCGGGGATGCTACGTGGGAATTAGAAAAGAGAATCAAAAAAAGTTACTCTCATCTCGTTTTAGTCGCTAAAAATTTTGAGGACGAAATTTTTGGAAGTATGGGAGAAATGTAACATCCCAAATTAATTTATGTGAAATTTTTATAATATTTTAGGTATTTAAAAAAAACTAATTTATGGAAATAAATAAATGAAAATATAATATATATATATATATATATATATATATGTATATATATTTGTATTATTAAACTATTAAAAAAAGAAGATAAACATGACCTTATCTCTTTAAGATATAATGATTAAAATAATAAATAATAAGTAATAATCTAATCTTATCTCTTGCATTAAATGCAAGTAAAAAAATTAATTATTTATTTATGATTATAAATAAGGGTTACGGGAGGGAGAAAGGGAGAAGAGAGAGGGAGAGAAAGACGAGAGAGAAGAGAGAGGGAGAGAAAGAAAAAGAGAGAGGGAGAGAAGAGGAGAAAGAAAAAGAGAGAGGGAGAGAAGAGGAGAAAGAAAGAAAGGGAGAGGAAGATAAGTCACCTCTGTAAAATTTTGGTACACCATTTGCAGTTCTTAAGGTAGGGGAGTAGAATATTATCATTAAATCTATTTTATTTTAATTATAGTTGTGGAAAGAGGTATCCCTAACCTTATTTTATTTATTTAGTTACTTGTTTATTTATCTCTAACTACGTACTGGTCCTACCTTATGTTTATTTATTTTTCTCCAGTCTTGCACTGATCCTATTTTAATTATCTCCAGTTATGTCTTGGTTGTATTATAATTATCTCCGGTTATATACTCGTTCCTCGTTTGTTTATTTTATTTTATCTCTACTTATGCACCAATTCTATTTATTAATTTATATTTATATTATTTAATTATTTTTAAATAATAATATCTATTTATGAATATTTGATAATATTGTAGACGGATGTTGGACCTTGAGGATTTAAATGAGTAAATATCACCGAGAGTGATTAAAATTGAGTTTATTTATCCTGACTAGTCACTACAAATTTAATTTAAATCTTCATAAAATAGAATGTGTTGAGGAAGTTGAAATATATATATATATATATACAAGATTGTATTATTATAAATGATAAATGTTCTCACTCCCTATTGTGATCTTTTGTGCATGTTTTATTTAAACACTAGTGGAAAAATAGCATTCTATGACGACCGACATAGTAAGTGGAAAGTTCACTTTCTATGTCGGTTAAAATTTACCCGACATAGAAAGTGAACTTTCTATGTCGGTTAAGTTTTACCCGACATAGAAAGTGAACTTTTTATGTCAGTTAAATTTTAACCGACATAGAAAGTGTATATTAAATAAAAAAAATTAAATATATAAGTATATAAATATTTATATATCAAAATATATAAATATATTTGTATTTATATATTTTGTATATAAATATAATTTATTTGTAAGTTATGTATCGAAATTCATAGTAGTTTAGTGGTTGGAGTATCAGTCTCCAACTCTAAGGTACTCGGGTTTGAATCTTGTTAGACACAAATCTCTTAAACAGATAATAAATCCTACCGAGTGACAATTTTTGTAAAAAGTCCATTACTTTCTATGACGGTTCATCACAACCGACGTAAAAAGTCATACTTTCTATGACCCCTGTATCTTTGTCGCCTCTTTAACTGACATAAAAAGCCTTTTTTGCACTAGTGAACTATTTAGAACACGAACGTTATAGACAACTCGGTTACTTTTAAAGGGACATGATTATCAATAATAACATTTGTATCTGATATGAGAAATCTCATTATGTTAGATGAACCATTAATGGTTACCTTTTGGATGTCTCATACCTTTTACCAAAATCCCTTAATCAGTTTGTTTTGACCGAATGTAGATATTTATATAATTATAGTAAAATAAAATAAATAAAAAATAAAATTTCTTTTTTTTTATATCTTAAATATATATATATATATATATATATATATATATATATATATATATATATATATATATATTGATGTAAATTATTTTTACATATATGTAATATCTTTAATTGATCGACTACTTTTATATAAATAATAATAAGAAAACAAAAATGTCACACTAATTAAATTAATGTAAAAATCATTTCATATGATGAATTTGAATCATCAAAGTAAATAGTCATTAATATAATTATTTTGTTAATGATGTGCTTTATTTAATCAAACAAAAATTAAATGCATCATTATTTATATTTATTTATCTTTCCATGGTCTTTATTTTGCTTCCATCATATCCTTACTCGTTTCAAGTAAAGATTGAAAGAAAGTTGCTTGTGAATATATTTTTTCAAACTTTCGAGTCATTCGGGCAACAAAGGAGTCTAGTGTAATGTGTCGATCCTAATAATGCATAAATGTTTGTTGGTATTTTCCATGGAGTATACTAATACTAGAATATATTAAACACCACGTAAAACATGTGTTTTGGAAAAGTATGTACCTATGGCTAGGTATGGAATAGATCTGTAGACTATATCTTATTAAAATATGCACGAGAGAAATTGTTTTCATTGATTGAAAAATATTATATAATTTACATATTAACAAAATAAGAAGAAAATACGAATCGTATGATAAAATGGTTGACACTTCGAAGAAAAACACAAGGTATAGTATTATAAATATGGTATATAAGTAATATAAGTCTATAATATATAAAATTAAAGGAAATGTTTCATAACACACTCGAAACCCTGGATATATACATGTTGATTAATGAATTGGGTAGAGAGATTAAAAAAAAGGGGAAAACGAAAAACGAAAAGATTTGTAGATAATTTAAAATTGAGGGGGAAAGCCTGTAAAATTATCGTGAGTTCATTGAATTCCTAATTATTACGTAGTTTTGTTTATAATAAGTTTATTATTATTATTTAAAATGGAGATATTATTTTGTACACATTACGAATATTGATTTTGATAAGGTAATTTTATTGAGTTGAGTAAATAATTATAGGATTATTTTTTTTTTATTCTTCGTCAAACTTAATTTTCATTTCTATATATAAAAATCGATTAATCAGTCTTTAAAATTTAAAAATGATACAAATTTACTCATTTATAAACAACTTATTTTAAAATAAAAAATATAGACTTATTTTTTCAGATTTTTTAAAGTAAATAATTATCTTTTTATAAAAATACTATTAAATATTAAAATAGATTTAAAAAATATTTAATTTTTTATGACCTCTATTAAGTTAAAAATATATATTTAATTTAAATATAAAAATAAAAATAAAATATTTCAGATTTTAAAGATCATATTAATCAACTTTAAAAGTATAAAAAATCAATAACAATATTTTACAAAAATATAAAAATAAAAGACATAGTTTTTCTGACAGTTCTCATCCGACAAATATAACAGTTCCATTTTGATGTTAAAAATACAAATTTAGCTGAAACATATCCATTAACTCACATGTTACATGTTTCTATACAAATCTTACACACTTTTTTTTTCTTTGACAGAATGAGACATCTTTTTAACCTTGTAAGACTTTTGGGTTTCGACAAAAGAATTCAAATCCACTCATTGAAGTTTTCACATGTAACATGTTTATAATACATAATCGTGATAAATGTCTATAATACATATTAACGATTATTTTATTTTATTGGACATAGATGAAATATCTTAAATAATTTTAACTATATCAAATAGAATTGAGATACAGGTCCGATTATTTTCAAAGAAACATTTTTTTCATATATTTCAAACAGTAAGGACTGAATGAAATATGCAAGGACATCACGTAATGAGTATCCGTATAAATGAAAAAAAAAAAACTTCCATTATGTTTTATACAATAGATATATTTACAATAAAAATATAAAAAAATGGAGTTTACTTCATAAATTTGATGGTGTAAAAAAGAGAAGGGCTTCAGCAATTTTTTCTTCATCCGAAAGAAACACTTGTTTCAAAAATAAATGTAAAAAATAATTTACAATAGATAATATCTTTTATATGAAAAAATAATTATTAAATAGAATTGTATTCCAAGATATTTAAAAAATAATAAAAAAGAATAAATTAATGGAAGATTATGCTTTTATTTTATAAAAAGTTTTGTATCTTTTTCATGATTTCTTAACCTAATCATTTATTTTTATTAAAAACGATGAGATATTGTTTCGGTGGAAATTTGGCCGATTTCGATTTCTTGAAGACTTAGGTTCTAACCAACTTTTAACCACGTAAATTCTTTTTACTTAGACTAGCAAACAGATTTCAATCGAAATATGTATGAAAATCGAAAATACCACAATATCAAAAAAGCGCTAACGACGTAATATGGCATACAGATGGACAATCGAAAGTACTCTATTTGGTATTTTTTTATTAAGAAACTCGAAGTAAAGAAAATAGTAAAAGTGTCGAATCGAAAAACAGTGCAGAATATTAAATTGAAAAGAAATGAAAAATGCGGAAACCTCAAATTTGCATTAAGTGTAAATGACAAGGAATCGAAATTGCAGAAATGTAAATGACAGGAAATCGAAATTGCAGAAATGTAAATAACAGGAAATTAAAATCGCAAAAGTATAAATGGCAAAGAACTTAAAAGCAGAATCTTAACTTGCATTGAAGTAGATGACAAGAAATTAAAATGACAGAAACTTAAAGTTGATAAACGTAAATTGCATGAAAGTAAATTACCAGGGAAAGTAAAGAAAGTGATAAAGACAATCAATGAAAATGAAAATCCAGAGCATTAGAAACTTCATGATGCGTCGTTCTCCTGTAGACTATTCACTTGCGCTTCTGTTGCCTCTGCCAATTTCCCCCTCTTCTTCAAGCTTCGTTCTATTTACAGGCATCATTCAATGTAACCTCCCAAAAGCAGTTTGGAAACCGCTCCCACGTTCCATGTGCATGTCTCTCGATTTTTATCTTAGCCTACGATTTAGAATAACCGCTTATATGTTCTATGTGTGCCTTAACCGTTCCTCGACTTCTAACTTAGCCATGATTTGAAAAACCGCTTCCTACGTTCCATGTGCATAGTAACCATTTCCCTCGATCTCGATTCCATATATCAAGTATTTTGAATTACTTCTGATTTCTCTTAATCTTAACTTTATACTCAAATGCTTTTGATCGATTTTTACCTCCCTATGATCATCCTGTTTTCTTCTTATTCTCAATTTTCTTTAGCAATAGTCATTGAATCCTCTTCTTTCAATTCTTGATTCTCATTCTTGATTGATGTTTTCATACTAATACATGGTCATCGACTATCTTCCAACCATCTTTTTGATTTTTCAATTTTTAATTAACATACGATCCTCATTTTCCTTCCATCCACTTCTTGATCCATATATCGATTTTTTTTCCCACCAACAGATATATAATTCAATTCTATAAAACTAGTTTAGTAAAGTGAGAATTGTACTCACCTATATATTATAATATTATTGTATTTCTAAATTATGTGAGATTTTTCAATACATTCCCTCGTGTAAAGATGAGTAGTCCAATATTTCGAATGATTTAGTTTATTACTCTTATCGGTTAATATCCCAATATCTATAGAATCAAGTAGCGAATAGGGGATCAAATAATATATTAATAATAAATAAATTAAAAAGAGTGAGAGGTCAAATTCATATATATATATATATATATATATAATAATTATTAAGTTTTGGGAGATCAAAATCATAAATGTTAATATAAGTTACAAAACTTTGGATAATAACCATTAAATTTGGGGGGTCAAAATTATAAATGCTAATATAAGTTATAAAATTTGGGAGGAGGGCATCATGCTTTTTATTTTCCAAAAAGATATGTCACTGTATAGAATTGACTATGATATCATCTTAAAAATGGTGAGATACCTAATTCAACAATGTAAAATCGTCTTAGTAATGTGATGATTATACTCATTATATATTATAATATATTTAGTTGACATGAGATTTCTTAACACACCCCTCACATCAAGAAATCTTTTTTCATCAGACTCCCTCATATTGAAGATGAGTGGTTCAATAACAAGAGTTTAGTCCACTACTCTTAATGCTTAATATGCAACATCTTTAGAGTTTATTATGATACCATATTAGAAATAGTGAAATATCTAACTCAATTTTACAAAATCAACTTAATAAGACAAAGATTATATTCACATATATAGTAGAATATGATTGTATATGTAGTCAATGTGAGATGTCTCGGTACTTTTATATTGATTTAAGCATGAAAATGTTTTACAAATATTTATCCCTTGTTCTCGATGTATAACTCAATAGTATCATAAAATTCAATTATCAACAATATTGAGAGAAAAATAAAGGATAATATTGGGAGAATGAAAATTATTTTAATTTAATTGGAGATGAAAGAACTTGATTTTAATTAATTTTTTGTGTGATATTGGAAGCATTGCTGAAGGATTGGAAGAGTGGAAGCATAAAAGGATATGGGGTAAGACTGCAAAGAAAAAGCCGTGTAGATAGTAAAACCGGGGAGTCTAGGCAGAAGGAGTACAAAGAAACCCATTGGGATCAAAAAAGGCCGAAAGCCCAAACAAAAACAAAACCCTATAGTCAGCAACCTTATATTCCTACACCGTCCCCGAATCCTAGTCCTCAAAACCCTAATCCACACAACTCCAGTGAAGAAACCAGCGGTCCAATGCCACCGAAGTTCGATCCCTCGCAGGTGGTGGACGTGTTCGTCCGCGTCACGGGCGGCGAGGTCGGTGCGGCGAGTTCCCTCGCCCCGAAGATCGGTCCGTTGGGACTCTCTCCGAAGAAGATCGGTGAAGACATCGCCAAGGAGACCGCAAAGGACTGGAAGGGCCTCCGTGTGACGGTGAAGCTCACCGTTCAGAACCGCCAGGCCAAGGTGACGGTGGTGCCCTCCGCCGCCGCGCTTGTCATCAAAGCGCTCAAAGAACCCGAGAGAGACAGGAAAAAGACTAAGAACATAAAGCACAACGGAAACATCTCCCTCGACGACGTTATTGAGATCGCGAGGGTGATGAGTCCGCGCTCCATGGCGAAGGATCTGAGCGGAACCATTAAAGAGATCCTTGGCACTTGTGTGTCGGTTGGGTGTACCGTCGACGGGAAAGACCCCAAGGATCTGCAGCAAGAGATTACCGATGGCGACGTTGAGGTTCCTCTTGAATGATGTTGATGAGTTTTCAGTGTTTCTTTTGTTTTCATTGCTTCTGTTTTATCAATTTTGTTATAATATTGAGTTTTGATTAAATGATAGAGTAATTGTTTTGGTTGGGAATGGTCGTTACTTGTGTTGGTTGTTAAAGGCTAACACATTTTTTAGGATTTGAGTAAAAGTTTGATTGGAGCAATAATTTTGTTACCTACTTTTTTCATATTTTTGTATATTTTTAGAGTTGTCTGTGTATAAACAACAATTAAATGACACACCCTTGGCCTATTCAAACGATGTTTGAAAACCCAAAATTACATTATGTTTGGGTTGTCAAACAATGTTTTTATGAATACATTAACAACCCTTGTCTACCAGCACATGCACCTTGGCCTTGCCAGGGTCTCGAGTTTTATCTAAGTTTTGTTATTTTGAAATCCTTCTAAAGCAATAGTCTAAAGCAATTTGAACAAAATTAGCCCGAGCAACCCATAACAAATTCAAGTAAAAAATGTTATGTAGAGGAACTTACAGTAAGCAACAAATCCGAGTAAGTACCTCTAATGTTTGGGTACAGGATGTTGTTACAATGACAGTAGTCAGAGGTGGTCGATGATGGTGGGGGTGAATTTACAGGATTGAAAGAAAGGAGGGGTAGTGGACGTGTTGGAAATTGACTTAAAATCTCTTTCCATGGAGGTGAAGGTCTCTTGCTGGAAATTGGTTGTGGGCCTCACACCCAATTTCATATCACAAGTGTCTTTGGCAACGTGTTTGAGTCTTTGATCATGTAGAAAATACTACAATATTGCTGGCCTCTCCCATCTGGCATGATCTTTGATGATAAACGTATTACTAACAGTTGGTTGCCACTTACCTCTCACTTTCCCACATATGTAGAGCATCACTTTTTTTCATATGCTTTCTTTACTTCATAACTAGTTGTGTTTTATTTATGTATTGACTGGGGATTATTTATGTATTGATCAGCTCTGCACACCTCACCAGATGTCAACTTCCAAATTTGTTTTAAGTCAATGCCACATGAATGCGAGAATAACACAAGTGATTAATGATTAATTTTAAAGCTATTTTTTTCAAAGAAACTAGAATAACTTAATTTAAAAAGTATCTTTGAGAAGAAGACAAGAATTTATAAATTGTATTAAGTGATAGTTTTATAATAAAAATTTATATGAAATTAGTTTTAAGATATTTGTTTTCACTGATAAAATATTTTAAATATAATATAATTTAATAAAATGTATTATTAAAAGTTAAGAAATTCAAAATGAAGAGTGCTTATTTGTACAACCTGTAAGCGTTATTTATGATTAAGTAAGATAAAAAATGTCAAATCTTGTATTTTATAATTATTCAAATAAACATTAAATGAAATGTTTTCTGAATATTCAACATTTGACTATGTATAGGTTAAGTTGAGAATAGATTATATCATTCATATTTAGTCTAAATAAAGTTAAATTTGTTTATGATTATGAAATTTTATTTAATATTATCTTTCTATTTCAACATTTATTAAGAAATAGTCTATTTGTAAAAATTAAGACATGCTGCCTAACGACAATAAAAAGACATTCTTGAAAAGCATGAAGAAAAAGGCAGATGTCTATTATATCCCTCTCCCTTAGTGTCTTTCCACTTCCCTCGTTCAGGAACAAACCCTTCGCCTAAATCTTTTGAATCCCGGCCTGATTTTTCCCCACTAACCAATTAAGTTACGACCACTAAACAAACTTGGTTGACGAACATGGTTTATGCGCCGCTAATGTAGCGGCTTCCCGGTTTTTTAATTTTCTTTTTATATAGTACAGCTTTCAACTCATCCTGTTCTGTCTTGGGATTCCGAGACTTCCAGAAACCTTAGGTAGACCCATTTCTTTTTTGTTGAGATTAAGACTAAGTAAGGTCCGATAGACGCAGAAAAGTAAATAGTACATTTGTCATAAGTGAGAAATGATGCAAAGTTGGAGAATCATCCGACGGAAGATCCTTTTCCCCTCGCATTCTGCTGCCCACTAGTCTTATTTTCGTTAAATCTTCGATTCTAGCTCCTAAACATTAAATCTTAATATCTAAAAATCTTAATATCTAAAGAACGTCATTAATGTCTATCTTTTGAAATCTTCTTATATAAGCATTTCATAGACAATAATTTTTTATCTATAAACCCCCTTCTTTGAAATCAAGTGTTACGATATTTATCATGACTCTTTTTTAAGTTTTGACTATGGGTTAAAAATTTTAATTATATATTTAAATATTCTTTTAACAATAATTTACAAATTAAACTCTACCATTCTATCCCCCATACCCTTATTCCTTCATTGAAAAAAAAAATTTGAAAATGGAAGGGATTTATCATGACTTAATTGATTTTTTTTTTATTTTTTTTTATCAATTCTTTTGAAGTTTGGATGGAGGATATTTTTTGTTTCACTTAACAAAAAGCATGCTTGATCTTGCAAAGTGTTTTGTCCACCCCTCTCTCTCTCTCTCTTTTTTTTGTTCATAGCGTCCAAGATATATGGTTGGATGCAATAGTATTTTCTTAATTGTAAGATAATATTCTCTTGAACTCTTTCAAAAGCTCTCTCTTTGGATAACTATCTCATGTATTTGTTTGATTTGTAACCCAGAAGTTTTTTTTTTTTTTTCATGCTCATTTTAGTTCTTTATTTTCTTTAATTTTAATTAGTGGTAAATTTGTTCAATTTTCATACATCTCTTACTATCTTCACAGTGAAGGGAGGGAGATGGACCCTAGCCTTGGTAGGAGGGTGTAAAACCACATGTTTGTATCCATAGAGCCTTAGGTTCCACAATTTTCCTGCGGTAAACCATAGTTGTTGCCAATCTCAATGAATAAATAAATAAATTTACTTTTTAATATTAAAATAAAAATGCAACAATTTATAAATATAAAATTACTGTTTTTCACACACTAACAATGTTCATGAAAAGAACGAACAAAAATAATTTTAAAATTGAGAAACTAAAAATAAATTGAAATTTAGAAATGAAAAAAAATATATTTTTAAGTTTATTTATTTTATAATAGGTTAGAAAAAAATCAGTTAGTCTATAGCTAAGTTAATGACTATACGAGGAAACATCTAGAATTTGCAATTGTTGATCTTTATATGTTCGCCTACAGTACAAAATCATGACACCTGTTAAAGAGTGACAACTACTAAGAATGTCGGTATTTGATTTGTACTAATTCTTATTTGATTCTAAAGTTATTTTTGCGATACATGTATAAATAATGCTTTAATTTCGCAGTCTTGCAATTGTAGAGACAAAAAAATAATTATTTAGGCAATTGATTAATTAATTTAGACTTTTTGGATGGAAGGCCTAGAAATTCTCATTACACACGTATGTGGTTCCATAATTAGACATCGCCGTTTTTGTTGGAAGCTACCTACGAATCTGTCAACAAAATCACTCTTGATTTTATTCTCACGTGTACACCAATATGTGTGGTGGTCTCAATCCTAAGATATATCTCCTCCTTAAAACTAGTGATTTTACCTCCTTATTTTTGGGTTCCACTAATATATAAATACACACAAGGGTCTTTGTTCATTCAAGCTGAACCAAGACCTTTTCAAATCTACAGCATATCTCTAACTCTCTTCTTTCTAGAGTTAGGAGGAGGAGGAGAGAAGTTGTTTGTGTTCCAATTCCAAAGATTCAGGAAATCAGGGAAAGAAGCCGCAGGGATTTTCTCAAATTCATCAATGGCCAAGGGAATAAAAAACTTGAGTTTGTGGATGGAGGTTGCTCCGCCGCCAATAATTTTCCCAACCAAGCCTTCCAATTCGCCTGCTTTGGAGACCATCATGGAAGAAGTTGCAGAGGAATACAGCGACAAACCTTCAATCAATTCCCTCCTCAAGAAGCAATTGACGCAAGATTTTGAAGCTTACGAAGACAATTTAGTTGTCAAAATAAGTTCTTCACAACAACTTTGTACAGTTAATTGATTTTGTGAAATATGTAGTTCCCTTTTTTCTTCTTTCGTGATGAGTTAATGTATGCATCCCTGCCTTTGATTTGGCAGGAGTTGATTTAAGAATTATGCCAAACTGCAGTTTTTTTCTGCTTTAGACAATTCTCATCTTCATTTTCTTCTGTGCATGATTCACGTTAGTATCACCCAACCTTATTCAAAATCAATGAATAAATGCCATCGATATTTAATTAAAATAAAACGGCTTTAGTTTATTTCTGTTCTGTTTCTTGTTTCTATTCTGTAGACAAACTTTACTCATCTTTTTTGCTTCAAGTACCTTTCTGATTGATGACAGTGAAATTTTATTTTCTTTACGCTGCTTTTCTCCTCCTTGTATCTTCTTCTTTATCATATTCTAATAATATGGTAGATTTAAAACATTATGATTTTCATGGCTTGTTATTTGATGTATTTGAAAATCTAGATTAATTAAAAACGCAAGAAAAACAAAAATAAGAGATACCTTGTTTTATATATTTGACACCATTACTTTGTGAAATTTGTATGCTTGCTCCACTCAATATATTTAATTGCGTGGGTGGAATTGCTACTACAGAAATCTTGGATTCATGTGGAAGCACTATTTTGTCTTGTTTTTTTTTTTCACATTTTTTTTTCTCATTCATGGTCGTAAATTCTTTGGATTTTTTTATGGTAATTATGGTATTGATATTTCGTATTTATTGGTAAAAGTTTTATCGGATAACTAATTCTACTGAAAAGTTTACATGATTATTTTAAAGTTTAAATTTGAGCATTTGTTTAAGGTATCCTTTTAATATATTTGCATCTTGTTTCAATTTCCATCACACATTTGCTTATTAATTCCACCTACCACAAGAAGCACGTTTTGCATTTGGAAAAATTTAAGTTACATAACGACAACATCGTATACGCTAAATTTGTGATCTAGGATCTTCCTTTGGGTGTCGGTAACTGATTGTCCTGACTCGTCGCCATCATTTCCAACATTTTCAAAATTGTTGTATTAATTTAAGGTTATTTTTAAGACATTGATATGCATATGATTTATAGAAAAACAAAAGGGTTACCACAGCTCTTAGTCTTAATATAGAATTGTTGAATAATGACACTTGGAAAAGAAGAAAAGAGTGGTATGGTTTTTGGGTCGTGAATATTTAACTTGATTGAAACTGATTTGATTATTTTGAAAATATAATGGTGGTGTGACCTTCCCTGTGTCCTAAGCAATGGTTGCTATGAAACAAGAACCATATTTTCCCCGTGCATTATTTCTTCGCCGTTGAGACTGGTGGTGGGTCATACTCATCATACACCACAACGTTACCACTTTAAAACCCTTATAAAGAGCAACCTCAGTGGCATCCTTCTCAGAGCACACCTTTGTAGTGGAGAGAACTCCAGTTTTAGCCACTCACACACACAAACACTTTCATCATTAAAATCAAAGAGCCCAACAACGTTTGAAAGTGTTGGTGGCATGGGAAAGGAAATGAAGTTGTTGGCATCCTTCACTGAGTTTGCACCCGCTCCAGTGATTCTCGTGAGAAAGGTTTCACATGCTCCTGTGTTAGAAACCATTGTCGAAGAGGCTGAAGAATGTGACCAAGAGTTTAGTCCCCACTAGCTATTAATTGCGTGTCAACATATATACGTAGTTGTTCTTCAATTCAATTTGTTGTGTAGAGTCCGTCAAGTTTCACAATCGATTGAAAGTTTTTGTTGTCGATTTGTGGTAATAAAGTTTTTGAACCTTCATTTTCCTAACTATCTTCGGTTTGATCATTGCAGTTCTTGCCAAAAACAACTATATCGTTAATTCAAAGCGTTAACTCCAGATTAATTAATTAATTAATTAAAGTTTAAAAAGTGTATCCTTTTTTGTCAACAGTAAAAGGACGCATGCTCAAAAGGCCCAAGGGTGTAAATTACAAAACAATTTCACACTAATTTTTTATTAATTTATAATAAGTAAAAAATCAATTTATTATTGATAATTTTAATTTTTAGAAAGTTAATCAACCATGTGTAATCTATTTTTATTGTTTCTTTCTTACTTATGGTGACCTTTTTTTCAATGTAAAAGTGACTTGAGAATGACCTCTTTAAGCAAATCCTAACAAAACTCAATGGGTTATGGTCGTTTGTTCCGCGCCAACGCATTAGTTTCACAACACATTCTTTTTGCACCTCCATATTTATTTTCTGCAATTCTATAATTCATGTTAAATAATAAAAATATCTTCTATATTTCTATAAGGTTATTGATAGTGTTGTGTGTGTGTGTGTGTGTGTGATTAATGGACCATTGTTGTTGGACCAATTCATCAACTTGTTTTGCCATGCTGGCCCGAAATCTCCATAGAGGAGGTCAAAACATACACCTTTGTTACTTAATAATAATTCATATGTAGATGCCTAAATTTATTCTTCAAAAAATAATTATTTTATCAAATAAAACTTCGCTAAGGATTGATTTTTGTTTACCAAAATAATTAGTGTTATTCTAAAATAAATCGACTCGACTAATCACTGAACTGTAAGCAAAACAATTATTAGTATGATGTATTGTATCAGGGGAATATTTATTTCCTGTTATAGAATGATGCTAAAAAATATTAAAAAAGTTAAAATTGTTTAATTTGCAGTAAAAGTGAAAAAAATGGGTAGTGGAAAAAATAAGTGGGGAGAGTGTATTGGGTTAATAAGCAAACCATTTGGCAATCGCTGGGACAGTTTTTGTTTGACAGGAGGCACAGGACTCGGAAATTTCAGGCGATCTCTGCGTCTCTCCTATTTTTTCTGAAGCTGTTAACAAACACCTCACAGTCACAGGTACGCTTCTCTCTTCTTCCCTTTCAGATCTACGCGATTCCATTGCTTTCACGGTTCAATTCCATGCCGTTTCTTGCGCCTCTTTTCACCTCTTTCTCTCTCGTTGTCCTTTCTCTTCGTTAGCCTGCAAAATATAAATTAAATTAAATTAAATTCAAACGGTGAACTGCTCCTTAACTAGATTCGAATCTTTGCTTCTTATTTCTCTTTTTATCGCGGCTGCAGATAAATTATTGTATCAACTGAATTTCGATGTGCTATGCTGGTTAGCTTTTCTAGGTTTTTGATCTAAAAACAAAACAATACTAATAACGATTCGGGTGGAGTTTTAAGGAAGTAATCAATCTTACTGATTAAATAAGCAAATTAATGGTTAATAAGTTGACGTTCCATCACATCTATATCTGTAAGTAATTTCACGTTTGTGATTACTTATTTTACTCTTGAATGTGGAATTTTCGCTTTAGAGGACTTGGATCCAAAGTTGACTATTTAAAATTAGTGAGTCTGTGATTGGACGATTCTTGCTCGACGTTAATTTCATTTTTATGTTTTACTGTCCCTTTTTTCTTGTTTTTAGTTGCAATTTTTTTTTTCTTTTGCAAGATCGTGAATCGCGACCGAATCTTAACCACAACTACGGTTTAAAATTGACTCCTGTGACTACAATGTAAAAAACTTGACACATTAAAAACCTCAATGTATATGGTTGCAGATGTAGTTTGACGGTGTTTTGGTCTTTGCAAATCAAGCTAACTACGATCTATATATATATATATATATATATATATATATATATATATATATATATATATATATATATATATATATATATATATATATATATATATATATATATATATATATATATATATATATATATATATATATATATATATATATATATATATATATATATATATATATATATATATATATATATATATATATATATATATATATATATATATTGTTTCATACTTCCTTCCTGTATGATTTTGCTTTAAGTAAGTCGTCTAATGATTTTTCTCACACTGTTTGGAGGGAGAAGAGTATTTGGTTGGTTATATAATTTCTTTAGTTCAAAATTTAAATATTAGATGATAAAATCAGTTCTGTTTTGTTACTGTTGCACTCCTTGCTCTTTTCCGAATTCCTAGAGAGAATCAAGGCGGTTTGTTTGCCTAATTATTGATATATGTTGCCGGAGGAGTTGCTTTGTGTTTGCTTTATTGTAGGTTCAATTTAACTAATTAACCATTTATAAATTGTTTTTGATTGTGTTCATCACAGAATGGCATCCAACAGGGGTCAAGGTGGAATTCAACAGTTGTTGGCTGCTGAACAAGAGGCACAACGGATTGTGAATGCTGCAAAAAATGGTATTTTCTATCTTTATTATCTTTCATATCATCCCATTTTTTCCCACAATTTTGCTATATTTTGGTCTGATTAGGCATTTTCCCTAAAAAAAATTATGTCTTACTCAATTATATATGTCCAAAGAGACCTGTTCTACTCAATTTCTTTTATTATAAATGTCATTTCTTTTTTACCAGGAAGGATGGATTCTTGGTTTTATGATGGCCATCATGAGTTTGTTTGCCTCTTCATATATATGATAAAATAATGAGTTTGATTGTATAAATATTTTTACATGGTTTATTAATTAGAAATCACTTTAGATTTTACTTTTAAAAAAATTAGTTTAAGATTCATGCTTGGTCAGGATAAAGATTTTTAGACTAATTAGAAGTCACTTGAAGTTTTACTTTTTTAAATTATTAGCTTAATTTTCATGCTTGGTCAGGATTTATAAGTGTAATTTTAAAGTTGTTATAGTGAAAGTAGCAAACTTATATACCGATATTATGTAATTGGACGACATGACAACGTAAAAATATTTATACCTACATTTACATTCTAATTATATTCTAGAACGAATCCTCTCGTTGAAAATTATTTGCTATGACATGCGACTGTGTCGAACAGCCAACTTTCAGCCACCCCCTCTATTTTTTTGGTATTATGTTACTTATGTATTTTATCACAACTATCCCTTTTTGTAACCTTATCAATGCTGTCCGCCGCATGTCTACTGTTAGAAAAATTGGCTAGGTTGAAACAAGCCAAGGAAGAGGCTGAAAAAGAGATTGCCGAATACCGAGCTCAACTGGAGCGTGAGTTTCAAAAAAAAGTTTCAGACGTAAGTCTGTATGATTATATTTGATGATGTTAGACTAGCCCATTACATTATTCTAACTTGTGATGTATTGATCTACTCCATTATATTATTAATTCAGAGTACTGGTGATTCTGGAGCTAATGTCAAGCGGCTTGAGCAAGAGACTGAAGCAAAAATTGAGAACCTGAAAACGGAGGCTGCAAAAATTTCGGATGATGTTGTCGCCATGCTTCTCAAGTATGTCACAAGTGTGAAAAATTAGGGACCCTTTGATATTCATTGGTGCTGAAGATTCCTAAATTATGATGATTATTATCCTGAGTTTATTTTTTGCTCTAGATATTGTGTTGAGGATAAGATTCTTGTTCTGGTTATAATGCTTTGTACCTTGCTACGTTGTGTTCAAAGAAATAACTTCAGATTTGTTAGAATAAACAGTTCAAGAGTAAAAGACGTGTATATTTGTGTTCCTTATGACGTCTAGTTCCGCCCCTGCTTATCAATGTAAAGTAAAACTGTATGGCAAATTTTCAATCATCAAATGCATTACATATAATACAGTGGCACGTCTATCAAAAGGTTTGGGCCTTTGTGAAAAATGGATCATGGATGAGAGGATGTTTGTTTCTAGTTATGCCTCTATTCTTGTAAATGATAGTCTTACCAAGGAATTTAAGCTGCATACTACTAACTCCACGGCAATCTACTAACTCTATTTCTCTTTACGGTGGTAGTGAAGGCTTAATTGAAATGATGAGGGAGGTTTTTGCCAATATGTTTTTGGGATATCTTATTGGAGAAGATAAGGTTGAAGTCAACCTTCTATATATTTGTGGGAAAGATGTGTTTAAAAAATGTGATGGTCGTAAGATATTTTAAAATATTTTGAATTGGTATTAGATTTCAAAGTGATCTTTTAAAGGATTCAGGACAATTGGTGTGGATGGGAGTACAATACAGATGTATGCAACCTTTCTTAACTGCAAGATGATGAATTCTCCTTTGTGTACAAGGGGATTCCCATCGAAGCAAATCCAAGGAAAGAGAGTATGTGGGATCCCATTCTTGAAAAGTTTTACAAGAAGCTGACATTATGGACACCCAAGTCGTCATTTGTAAGAAGGGTGTGTATAATCAAATCAACGCTTGCATCTTTGTCATTATTCTTTACGTCGTTCTACAAGATGACTAGAGGGATTGGTGGTAAAATCATTCATATACAAAGGAAATTTTGTGGGAAGTGGTAGTGGAGAGGATAACCATAAAATTGTATGGATGGGGTGGGATAAATTGTGTTGTAACAGAACCATGGCGAATTAGGAATATAAGTGGCATGGATAACTAAGTGGAGATGGGATGTTTTCCACCAGAGTTGGTCATTATGCGTTGATGTGTTAGACTAAGTAGGGTGATTAGAGAGGTTTGGATGGGGAGAAGTGCAAGGTAAACTTGTCAATGTGGTGAGGTGACATGTTTATCATTTGCAGCATTTGAAGACAGAGAAATGTACGTGAATTTAAAGGAAAGTAATTTGACACTGATGGGTCAATGCACGAAATTATATTTTTCACAATATGGAAAAATCTAAAGTATAAGAGTGAAAGTTTTGATTACTTCAATTCAGCGGTGGAGATATGATCAAAGATTATGCATTTTGGTAACGACGTACGAGGAAAATATTTTGGCCGATATAGAATGGACACTAACGTTGTGGGAGTTGGGGGATAGATATAATAAGTATAGGAATTCAGTATATGAATGCTATTTTTTTGAAGTGAGTTAGAGGATAGACGTTATTCTATATAATTTAAACTGGCTTTTAATTTGTAAGGGTAGGTACTCCTTCTTAGTTCCGTTTAAATGTCCTATGCTCACTGTTATACTTTTCTATTTTCGTTGACCAGCAATCTCCCAATTTTTTGTTCCTTCTTCCTCAGAAATCCTTCATTTTTTTATTCACTTTATTCCCTCTGAAATCCAACCTCAACAATATTTGTTTATGCTGTATTAGGGTTCCTAAACAAAGGTTCTGATCCATCCCTATGTCCTCAACCAATTTTTTTATTGCAATCTCTTTGCAAGTTCCCAGCAGACAGTGGTCTTTGATCAAGGCAAAAACCAACGGAAGAAACATGTAACAAAGGGGCTTTAGATGGGCCACTGCTCAACAGATGAACAAAAACAATAACTGATCTTGCGCCTGTTGGCTCAGTTCCAAAACCAAAATAATGGAATTATAATGTCAACTATTATTTTAGTTTGTGTAAACACAAGATGCATATTTAAAAAAAAAATTATAATAAAAAAGTATTTTCAAGCATATAGAGATTATATAATAATTAAGCATAGTAATAAATAGGCATTTTAGAAATTATAAATTGAATTTTAGATTTATGATGAATAAATTATATAGTGGTACAAACTTATTTTATCTTAAAAATATTAAAATCTACTTTAAATATAAAAGTAAAAAACATATGGAAAAATGTACAAATAAAGATAAAAGGATAAAGAAAACTTAGATAGATGTTGATAGAAAAAACATGGATAACATTTTCTGCCTATACCAACAAAATCTTTATAAGAAACAACTCTTATCTAAATTGGTGAAAAAATTATCTAAATAATTTTAATTAAAAAACAATTCATATCTTAAATGATTGAAAAATAATTTCACTTGTATCAATTAAAAAATCTTAGGTGACAATAGTCTTATCATCCCAACTAGGATCAAGTCAATAATATCTTGATTAAAACTTACTCGATAGGAAAAGTATGTCAAGAACATCCATAAATGAGAGAGAGCAAATTTTAAATCTTACTTTATAAGTAAAATTTAAAATTTCATAGTATTAAGTAATAAATTATTTTAATAAATTTTTATAATTTTAATTTATTTCAAATCAGTTTTTTCAAATAACATATTTTGTCGTTTTTATTTTTTAAATACACACTCTTTAAATATTCTCTATCCAAATACAAAAACAAGAGTGTATAAATACATTAAATGAATTCAACTATAATAAAATTGAATTGAAATAAAAAAGTGGTTTAACCAAACAAAACAATACTGAACTATAATAAAGTTGAATTGAAATCTAAATGTGGTTTAATCATACAAAACTAAAACTGAAGATTGAGAATAACCAAACTTAATCACTTTGAATTACTTTTAAATTGCTTAAACTACTTAAATTGTTTATTACCCATAGACATCTTATTTTAAAGCATATTTTCCAACCTCATAAGTTATTCAACTTAGTCAAACAGTTCTGTTTATGAGCAATTCAGTTTTTAAAATTAAAATCAAAATACAATTCTTTTAAGCATCAATATGGTGAAAGACAATTTGAATTCTAACACTTCCAACTTTTAATTATAAGTTTTACAAATTACAACCAATTTTTATTTTTTTTATTAAAAATAAATTATTGACTAATTTTGTAAAGAAGAAAAATTCATCACAAACTTTCACAAAAGTTGTAGCGACATCGTAAATTTTGTGATAAGTTAAAAATATATAAATTTTGTGCAGATTATATATAGTCTAAAAATATCATCACAAAAATTGTCATAAATATATTATTATTTTTCTTAGTTTTAAAATTTTATAATAAAATAGTGCACAACTAATTATTTCATTACATGTGTCATCACAAACTAAAAAATATTTAATTTTGTGAGTAATTACTGTAATATAAATAAAATTTTTTCCTAGTTTAAACGACAATTGTGTGAGTTTTTATAATTTAACCAAATCATAATTGCTTAAGAAAAAATTTGATTGATTTAAGTAAGTTTTGTCTGGTTTAAACGAGAGAATAATCTAATGAATTTTTAAAACTTTACTGAGCCATAGTCGGTCAAACATGAGTTATGAATGTTTACGCAAAGGCTATTGCATGTAATACATGTATTAAAAATAACATTTTGATAATGATGCTAGCTTAAGCGGGTTCACCATCACTTAAGCGAGAGTGCAATCCATGTCTTATCTGCTTAAGCGTGATGCAACAATTGTTTAATGGGTGTGTGATCGATGTGTCATCCACTTAAATCAAATATATTGTACGTTCAAGTGATCATGTTTTTCTTTTTCATACTGCATAGGTGTAAAAAACGTAAAGAAAAAAAATTAAATGAAGTACAAACGAAGTGAATATTGCTTAAGCGTCCAAATTTGTTCGCTTAAATGGGAGTCATTTAAGTTGTTGTTAACCCATGCTTAAGCGACTCTCGCTTAAGTTGTTGTTAACCCAAACTTAAGTCACTCACGCTTAAAAGGTTATTGGTTGATGCTTAAGCACATTTTCTTTACTAATCCAATTTTCCTCACAAGTTCAAGAAGAAGATAAAACAATGGAAAATAATTATTTATTGATTATATGATATTTGTGTATATTTGAAATATTAATATCTTTGTGTATAATATATTTCTTTAAATTTAAAAAGGAAACAATAATATCCTCTTTACGAAATGAAAGAATATAACTACTATGAAATGCATTAATAAGAAATAGAAGAAAGTGATTTGGGGTGATTTACAAGTAAATATTATACTCCTTTTATAACTAGAAAAGTGAATAATATATAGTTTCTTCGATGTAAGACTTCTCTTTTCACATTTCTAAAGATTTTGATTAAATTAATCAAATCTTCATCGTATATTATTATTATATTTTATGTTGCTATTTTTACAATAGACCTTCAATAGATTGATAAAAAATATTCACAAACGAAAAATGTAAATCAAATCAATTCAAAGTTAAAGAAAAGATGGTATGAAGGTCAGTATGATGGAAACATTTGAAACTTGACCATTTTATTATAGATCTATGTAAGTACAAATCAACATGATCAATATAATTATATATTGGCATAATATAAGCATTTGGAGCTTGACCATCTCATTTGGGTCGATATAGTTACAGATAGATGTAATTACATATTGACATGATGGAAACATTTGAAACTTAACCATCTCTTCTAGATCGATGTAATTATAGATAGACATGATGGAAACATTTGAAACTTGATCATCTCTTCTGGATCAATATAATTACATATCGGTCGGCATGATCCATGTAATTACATATCGACATGATGGATACACTCAAAGCTTAACCATCTTTTATAGATCGATGTTATTACATATCAACATGATCAATGTAATTACAAATCAACATAATGGAAGCATTTGAAACTTGACTATCTTATAATAGAATTTGTTTTTTCTACTTTTTGTTGCACAACTTGTCGTCTTTTTTCACGGAGTTTTCTTTTCTTTTGAGCAATAAGTTTTGCATTCAATGAAATAACAATCTTGTGACACAAAATTAGGGTTTGGTTGATCACTTCTAATTTCCTGTTAAGTGTCTACTTCCATCTCTTGAATATGTAAAATAAATTCTTTATGAGTGGATTTTGTCTTAGCAAATTCTTCTATTCTTTTTTTCATGAAATAGGATGAGATTTAAGGCTCAAAGCATAACACTCTCTAGCCTTCGTTCTCTTAAAAACCTCTTTTCTTTTTAATTTTAATGTCTTTATCCAATTGTATAAATCAGGAAACTTGGGTTCTTAATTCTTCCATACATTCTGGATAATCTATATTTATACTATCCAAAAATTGTCCTTCACTTAATCTGTTTATTAAGACATGGATTACTAAATCTAAGGATAGATTTTCAACTGAAAGACGTACCTAATTAAATCTTTCCCATGAATTTCTACAATGATTAACCTTTTTCTTCTCCAATCCTTACAAGGTTAATGTAATTGGTTCATGTGGTCTTACAGCGGCAAAACTAGCTCAAGATTTTTGGGTTAATGCTTCAAATGATCTCATGGACCCTTTTGAAAGATCATAAAATCATTTAAGTGTTGGTCTTTTCAAATTCATGGGAAAGACTCTACAAAGAAAGATGTCACTCTCCTCCCAAATCAGTGATTTTAGTTAAATAAGAGCAAATATGTTCACATGGATCTGAACTTTTTCCAAACTTAAAAGGAGTCTTCCATACTATTGATAAAGTTTCTGCTTGTATTTTTAGGATAAAAGAATTTCCTATATTCAATTTGGACTGTCCTGAAATATGAGTGTCTGTTTTCTTGATTTCTGGTTCATTTTCCACCATCTTGTTTGACTCTCCATCTTTTCTGTTATCTTGATAATTGGATTCATCTTCCTTCGTGTTGAACTGAACGATATCATGATTATGATTGATGGTACCTTGGAGGGGATCGAGTTAGAAGGCGAATTTGTCTTTTTAACTCTGCATTTTGCTTTTTGAAATTTTTCATTTCTTCTTTGTATCTCTCTACTTCATTATATATGTTGAACTTTTCATAATAATTTTTTCTCTGTTTCTCCTCTATATGAACTTTTAAGTTATTGGTAGTGATGATAAATTTATTTAGTTTGTGACTTGGTACCATAAGGTCCCATGGTATCATCGGGTCCCACGAGTAGGGGTCAAAATATTTTTGTCAAAAATCAATTACAAATAAAATAAAAAATGATTAAATTAATAACTTAGATTTAGTTGACTTTGACCAGATCAACAACTTAACTTTGACCACAAACAACTCTAAACTAAATACTTGTTCTTGATCAAAATAAACTAAATACAAACTATTAATTTAATCATTTTTCATTTTATTTATAACTTTTTTTAAACAAAAATATAAGACATTCTTAATGTTATAAAGATTCTAATACAAAGAAGACCAAATCCAAGAGATCATGTATGAACTTCAATTAAAAAAAATCTAGACCATTATATTATTATTATTTATTATTTTAAGTTATAATTTTAAAATAAAATAGGAGAGTTGACAACAATAATAAATTATACATAAATGATAATTGGAAGATTATATTTGTATATATTTTAAAAAATATATATTAGGTACATGTACACAAATGAAGCAATAAATCATTTTAAATTTTAAAATTGACATAATTTAAATGAAAAAATAACTTTCAAATCAATACAAGTTTTTTAATATATATATATATATATATATATATTTTATAAAATATAATTGCATAATGCAATGATTTATGTAAGGTAAGTTAATATTATTTTGATCTCCCTTTCAATAATTGGATTAATAAAACTTATATTTTATATAAAATTATTAATATAATTGGATCCTTTCCAATAAAAATATACCATGATTATTGTTAGATATTGTTTAGATATTATTTGATATTTTTAAGATATTGTTAACCACAATATCAAACAATATCTTCTGCTTATTCTGTTACGTTCAGTTACTCTTTTAGTTGTATCTCTCTACTATAAATAGACTACCCTATGTGTGATTTATACACAAGGGAGATTAATCCCAAACTCTATTTTTTCTATATTCAACATGGTATCAGAGACAAAGCCTAACATCTTTCCGGTTATTGTCATGGGCCAAAAGTTGCCCTTTAGTTGGGTCAAAAGTACCCTTTGTCTGGTCTGACAAACTTCGTTGGAGAGGGCGTGTTGAAAGTCCCACATCGCCTATCTCATGTTATTTGGTATGGTTTAAATACATATTACTCCACATATTGTCAATTGGTTTTATGTTGGAACCTTAACATAGAAGATTGGTTGGAAAATTGAATTATCTTACAGTTACTCGTCCTGACATTTCCTTTGTAGTCAGTATGGTAAGTCAATTTTTTAATTCCCATGTGAAGATCATTGGAATGCAATTATTCGTATCTTAAAGTATATTAAAGGATCTCCTGGAAAAAGATTATTATATGATTCTAATAACCATACAAGAGTTGTTTGCTACTCAGATGCTGATTGGGCAGGATCTCCTTCGGATAGAAGATCTACATCTAGATATTGTGTCTTTATTGGTTGTGAACTTGTTTGGCTCAAGCAATTGCTTAGAGAGTTACAATTTGGAGATGTGACTCAAATGTCACTTGTGTGTGACAATCAGACTGCTCTTCATATTAGTTCTAATCCTGTCTTTCATGAAAGGACCAAACACATTGAGATTGACTGTCATTTCATTCGAGAAAAGATTATGTCTGGAGACATCAAAACTGAATTTGTTAACTCAAGTGATCTGTTAACAGATATTTTTACTAAATCTTTAAGATATTGTTAACCACAATATCAAACAATATCTTCTGTTTATTTTGTTACTTTCAGTTACTCTTTTAGTTGTATCTCTCTACTATAAATAGACTATCCTATGTGTGATTTATACACAAGGAAAATTAATCTCAAACTCTATTTCTTCTATATTCAACACTTATCAAAATTATTAACAAAATGCAATATACTTTCTTTTTTAAATAATGAAATGACAACATATGAAAAAGTGAAGGAAAACAAATTAATCTGTGAAGACTTATTAGTAGTACTATACCTACAGAGTTTGGTGTCCTTAGTGATGATACTGATGCAATGGCTAGGGGAATTTTCCTTAGGGTTTTAATGAAAGAAGTGTGATTTTATTTCTGATGAGACACTCTCTTTTGCAGGTCATTCATGTCCTACATGTCCCCAACACTTGCTTACTCTCCCTGCCACACCCTTAAAGAACAATAGAATGACAGATAAAGAGAAAACTTGAGAGGCAAATATAAGGTAACTTCAACTTACCCTCTTACCCCATAGACAACTCATGTGCTAGCTGACTTTCTAACTTTGCAATCCTACATCATTTCCTATAATATTAACAAATACCAAATGTGGACCCTCCTTTCTCCTCACCAACTCAACCTTCCTCCACTCCTCTCCTTACTTGAATCAGATTATACACCCCTCATTATATATTCATTAGATTCGTTGTTCAAATTCATCATCAGGTTATCAGAATAAGATATCAAATAATTTTATAGATTCACCTAATGTGAATGAGAAACAAGTGTGATTAGTACGAGATTTCTTTATGACAGATTAATTATCCATTACAATGACAAAAGAAAAAAGTCATTTCTCATAAAGTGTTTTTAGTTTCCCCTCCAATGTGAGTTTTTTTATTGGTGAATAATCTATCTTTTAAGTGTCTATGGAGCTTCAAAGTCTATTATATTATGATCCACCAACTCACTTAAACTTTTCTTCATAAGAAAACAAAAAAAAGAAAGGAGTAGTTGAAGGGTGACTCATAGCATGATATGAATGAGAAACAGGTCGGTGGCAGTGCATGCATGATGATCTCATTTCACCATGGCTATAAGCTAGAGACAAGAACAAAAAGCGATGGGATGATGAATCTCATATATGAAATACCCTTATCCCAATCACCACCTCTATCAAATTTTGTGAACTTTATCCGGACACTAACTGCAAGATAAAACCTCAAACTTTCTTCCACAGATTAAATGCACAAAGATCTATCAATAGCATGATAATGTGAGACCAAACAAAAGAACATTAAGTTGCACCTCATTTCATAACATAAAAACAATTTTACCACGCATGAATCTTTCAAATCTGTTATTCACTGAAAAATATAAATAAATCTTAATCATGCAAAGCAAATGAGGTTTGTATTGTAGACCATATTATTGCTAATCGTGCTGGCTGACTGCTGTTGAGGATCTTGGAAGGGGTCCCACAAAAAATATGAAGCATTGGAACCAATTGGACTGGTGTGTAGCTACACAAGGGACAGGGACCCTTCTTATTTGGGTTTGACCAAGATGAAGATGGAGCACAAAAGTGCACATGCAGTTGCAGTTGTTGCAGGCCAGCACCCCAATTGGGGAGGGTGGGTGTACCCCACAGGCATCAAGGGACCATTCAAGTTTCAAGTTAAAACATGTCTATTTGACCTCATGCTATTATTATATTTTTCTTCGTTCATACAATTTTTTATAGTTCAACCAACAATCAAAGGAGGTCAGACAGCTCAGATTTGACGTCCACGTGATAATCAGCTGTTTAGAAGTTCTAGGTCATTCTAACAGCTGCACCACCACCTTAGTTACCCTCAAATCTCTTCCTCTAGATCTGTAAATGAAATTATTTCTTGTTTATATTAGATCCATATTGCATAAATTCAAACATATATATGCAGATATAATGATAGTTATTATATAGGCATGATAATTATTTTCATATAAGACCGTTTCTTAAGCATGTAGATGAAAGGGTTATTTTGTCTGATATATATGTATAAAAAAGACTTTTTTTAAGACTGTTTTATAAGAATTTATTTCTATATTTTAAAATTCATATATTATTAAAATATTATTTAACAATTAGAGTTTTTCATTAAGATACTAGGTTTGATTTTAGATTCTACTATACATACACTTCTGTCATGTAAAGCAGTAATAATTTTATACTGTTAAGTGATTGGCATGTTTGTTTAGTAATCTTGATCTTTGGGTGTAGAAAGGTTGAGTTTCATGTAAAGCAAAGGATGATTCTTTGATGAGACAAATTTGATAAAATAATTGTTTCCCCAACTAAGTTCGTACAAGACAAAATACTTTAAAACTTCACATGAGAAAGTAAAAAAGAGAGGAAGAAAGAAGCCAAAATTGGGAAGGCTAGGGATATGATGCATATGCTGCTTTTCCTCTGATCATAGCTTGCTAAAACCAAATAAAATGAGCTTGCAGGATGCCACGACTTTAACTTTACACGCAGGTTCTGTAAAGGAGGGATAAACATTAAGAATCTCCCTTTTATATTTTACATAATTTAACAATATAACATATAAAAAAAATAAAAGAATGAATTATAATTAATAATTTATTTTGCTTTAATGTTATTAATTTGTTTCAATGGGGATGAGTTTTATTATTGATTAATTTTGTCAATTTATTTATTATTTTATTTTATGTCTGATATTAGTTTCTCTTCTTTCATTTCTTCTTAAAACTATTCTAAAAATTGAAAAACACATTATTAAGATATTTTTTTCTTAACAAAAAATATGTATTTCTAAATTTTTGGACATATATAAAATATTTTTTACATCAATATAAAAAATTCCATATACTACATTTATTAAAACAATAATAATTGTAGTACCTGTATTTTTTTAGATAATTATATATAACAGTATTTATGTATTCTACTATTTGTGTGACAACACACAATATACTATGTGCATTAATAATAACATAGTATATCTTTTTCTTATATTTAGTGGACAACAAGGTAAAATATTTCACACTTTTATTAAATAATCAATGTAAAAAAAATTATTTTTTAGCGATTTCAACTAAGAATCTGGTTCATAAATGAGATTTGATAATCTAAATCACCATAGCTACAAAATTGTTTGAAATCCTGAAAACGAAAACAGATATCTTTTTAATGTATTTGAATTTATTTTAATACATTTTTAATTAAACTAAATATTTATCTAAAATACTTAATTTAATTAATTTTTACAATAATTCCATTAAATTAATTAATAAATTATATTGTAATAATTATTAGTTGAAATAAAAATTATTATTATTATATATTATTAATTTTATAAATATTTTTTAATTTTATTTAAAATAATAAGAATTTAATTTTTATAAATACAGATAAATTAATTATTATATTAAAATAATGAATTTAATAAAAATGTTGTTAATTAAAATAAAATTTTAAAATTAATTACGTTGTTGTTATTATTATTATTATTATTATTATTATTATTTAAAAACAATTGTAGTGTAAGAAATAAAATGTCAAATTTGGTTTGTTATTATTAATTTACTAATATAACCTAGTATTACCTATTAATTATATAAATTTATTATTACTAATTAAATAAATTTTTGTTATTTACCATAATTTTGAATATAAAGTTATTATAATAGATTGCATATAGAGAAAATGTTTAAAATATATTATAATTTTAAAATATATCAGTAATATTTTATTATCATCAATGATTATTAATAATTTAAATTGATGTTAATATTTAATAAATAATATATTAACAATGTAAAGTATCGTATGATATTTATGACTGTGAATAAAATTATAGTCAAATACTTACGATTAACTTTACAAATAATTGTATCGTATAATTATTAATAAATCAAATTATGTTATCAATAATGACTTGTTATATTTATAATAAAAAGTAAATGTTTACTGATGAAAGTTTTAAACTAAGAACAATTTAATTTTGCAATAATTCAATTAAATTATATATAACTTATAATATAAACAAGAATAATTAATATTAAACAGAAATATATTGAAAATAGAACATTTAAATGATATAATAAATTATAACTCAATACCTTTACTGATACATTAATATAAGCTAAAGAATAAAACTTAAATTATAAAAAAATTTCTGCTAAACTATACATGATAGATACAAGTGCAAACAAAGAAGGACTTAACTTTAAGTATTTTATTAAAAAAAGTAGTACTTGACACATTAATATATTCAACCTTTCAAGTGGGTGATAATATCTTTTAAAGTTGATTGTCCTAAACGCATTGAAGTGCACAATTACGTTAAAAAGTTGAAAATAATTGCGTTAAGTTACATTTTATATATATATAAAGTTTTGTTTTATAATAATTTGTTTTGGCTAAAAAAATTATTAAAATAATATTTTTTAGAATAAATAAAATTAAAATTAAATCTTGAAGATTAACATAAAAAAAAAAAAAAAAAAAACTGTTTGTCTTTTTACTATGAAAAGTGGACCCCACGGCACCTTGGATCTGTAATGAGCAATGCATGGTGATGGATTTGGAAGGTGGGTGTTGTGTTTTGTTGATTTTGTAGTGTACATGCGAACCCACTTCATTAGGAGAAAATTCATATTTTATGGTTCACCTTTTCTGGGAAGCCAATGTTTGTAAACACAAGCTACCAACATGATTAGCCATAATTACTACATTATTTAGTTTATAAGTATAATAATAAGTCTCACTCTTAAATGCTTCCGGTACTTTTTTATTTAGTGTGTATGTTTGTTTAAAATGCAGGGCTTATTTTAATGATTTGTCCTTATTAACTATTTAAAATAAAAAATTAGTCATTTATAAAACATTATATTTTAAAATGATTTTCTTCATAAGATTCTATTTCGAACAAAATGATTACTTCAATTGATAATTTTTTTTTTAAATTCATATTTCTTGAAGTTACAATTGTCTTTAATGTTTCTCTTTCTTTTTTAAATACTTATCAATACAATTTCTTATTAAAATTTAATTGAAAGTATTTTAGTGTAAATCTCATTAATACAAAATATATTATGGAATGTATAGAAAAGAAAGTAAATAAAAACTAAATAACATTTTACATTATGATACTTTTTTTTGTCCATTTCTATCAATCTTGCTATTTATTATATTTATTTGTTTTTTTCTCTTTTTAGTATTATGTTGTAATTTTATTAACTAATTTAGTCATAATGATTAGTTAAAACTGTTTCAGTCAACTAAAATTCAAACAATTAAAGTAATTATTAAAAGTAATTTTGAATAAAAATAAAATTAAATCTAAGTCAACATAAAGTTTATACATTTTCCAAGTCAAACGTACTTTTTAAGAATAACCTTAATATTCATTTTTGGAATCAACAAAAAAATTGAAAAAAAAAAAACAAGTCTGAATTGTAAGTGGTGGGTTACTTGTTCTCGTAACATGGTGGTTAATATCAGAATAAAAAAAACAGTTTTTAATTTGATAGGAAAAACAGGAGTAATGACAGTGAAAGAAAAGATGAAAGTAACTAAACTATGTTTGACACATTGAGAATGTAACGGTCAGAATGGGAGCTGTAAAAAATGGCTGACACCCGACCTGTTTCATGGTCATCACACTATCACTCACAGGGTTCTTACTTCACTTAGAATAGTAAACACAAAATACATCACCATCTTCCTCATCATGATCCCAAGCTACAACACATTGCAGAGTCCATGACACTCTTCCCAACTCAATCCAACCATGCAAACTCTCCCTCTCTTCCTCTTTCTCTTGTTCTTCTGTGGAACTGCACATGGGTTTGGTGCCATGGGTCCAATCACTGCGTCATTAGGAGAGGAGGAGGTTTTCTGCGCCATTGATGCTAGTGGGAAGCAAGAGGTCATTTGCTGGGGGAACAACGCCACATCACCGTCTCTCTCCTCTGTTATAAATGCCGTTCCTGCCATGTCAGCACTCTCCGGCGGGGAAGGCTTCATCTGCGGCATTTTAGCCAACACCTCGCAAGCGTTCTGCTGGGCCGCTGTCACAAAACCCAGCATAGATCTCAACCTCGTGCCGCCGGAGTATCGGAACACCGCATATGCCCACATCGCGGCCGGCAAGAGTCACGTGTGCGCCATCAGGGGATCCTACTACGCCGATCGCGATTCTGGTACCGTGGATTGCTGGGAGATAACGAGGACCGCAAACAAAACGTTGACAGCGAAACAGACTGAATTGTTTCTTGACCTATCCGTGATGAATCTGGAGATGAAGAGGGTTGTTTCCGGGGAAGGGTTCACCTGTGGCGAGGTCAGAGACGGTGGACTTATATGTTGGGGACCAAACGCTGGAGGGATAAGAGTTTCCAATGTTTCCGAGAGTTTCGCGGTTTTGGCTGCGGGTCGGAGTGCCGTGTGCGGCGTTTTCAACTTTTCAGGCGAGTTGAAATGCTGGGGCGACCCGGGTTCGTTTTCGGATCCTCCGGTGGATTCCGTTCGGCTGGTGTCTCTATCCGCTGGGTCTAACCATTTCTGTGGCGTTAGAATGGATAACCATGAAGTGGAGTGTTGGGGTGATTTGAATTCTTCGGTTATTCCTCGAGGGAGCGGTTTCATGGCTATTGCTTCTTCGGATTTCACCACGTGCGGGATCAGGGAAGATGATCTTCTTCTGGATTGTTGGATGGTGAATGCTTCGAAACCCGAGTTTGATCCTCCTTTGGAGCTTTCGAGTCCTGGACTATGCAAGGCTAGTTCTTGTGGGGTTGGTGCGTTTGCCTTCAATGCGAGTATGCTTAACGAGCTAGCTTTGACAAGCCTTTGTGTTAGAGAGGATTTGAGGATTTGTTCGCCTTGTGGGTCAAATTGTTCTAAAGGCTTCTTCTTGTCAAGTTCATGTACTAAAAATGCTGATAGAGTTTGCACTGCTTGTTCTCTTTGTCAGAACAGCTCTTGTTTTGGTGTTTGTGGACTTCACTCCTCAACGGGGCTGCATGTGCATTGGCACTGGCATCATTTGCGTAAATGGATGGTTATACTTGGGTGCTCCGTGTTGGGGGTTTTGACCATTTTGCTTTGTGGGTGTCTTTTTTCTGTGAGAAAGAGAACAAAGAAACAATCCAAGTCTTGCATGGGGAAACCGGAGCAAGAGGATGATCATGTCAATGTTGCTCTCCAATCAACACCTTCTGTTAATTCTTGTCCCGGGGCGCCTCAGGTTTTCAGGCTCTCTGAACTGAAGGATGCTACCAATGGGTTTAAGGAGTTTAATGAACTTGGGAGAGGAAGTTATGGGTTTGTGTACAAAGCCTTGTTGGGTGATGGGAGAGTGGTTGCTGTTAAAAGAGCAAATGCTGCTACCATAATCCACACCAATAATCGTGATTTTGAAATGGAACTAGAAATTCTTTGCAAAATTCGCCATTGTAATATTGTTAATTTGTTAGGGTATTGCGCGGAGATGGGGGAGAGGTTGCTTGTTTACGAGTATATGCCTCATGGAACGCTTTATGATCACCTCCATGGTGGTCTTTCTCCGCTTAATTGGAGCCTTAGGTTGAAGATAGCGATGCAAGCTGCTAAGGGGCTTGAGTATCTTCACAAGGAACTTGTGCCTCCAATTGTGCATAAGGATCTAAAAAGTTCCAACATTCTTTTGGATTCGGAGTGGGGGGCAAGGATTTCTGACTTTGGACTCCTTGCTTCGAGTGACAAAGATCTCAATGGGGATTTAGAAAGCGATGTTTACAATTTTGGGATGGTGTTGCTGGAGATTCTGAGTGGAAGAAAGGCTTATGATAGGGAGTACAATCCACCCAACATGGTTGAGTGGGCAGTGCCTTTGATCAAACAAGGGAAGGCCGCTGCTACAATTGATAGGGACGCGGCTCTTCCAAGAAATGTTGAGCCTTTGCTTAAGCTTGCTGACATAGCCGAACTTGCTGTGAGAGAGAATCCAAGTGAACGTCCACCTATGTCAGATATAGCATCTTGGTTGGAGCAAACTGTGAAGGACGGATTGATCTTATAGCATTCTTGTTTTGAATTTTGATCCATCCACAATATCTTTCATAAAATTATGTGAGTAAATGCCCTTCTGCGAATGTAAATTGTTTTTGATTTTGTTGTAGATTGCCTATTTCCTTTGTAGTTCTTTCAGCTTACTTTTCCTGAACTTCACGAAGTGAAGGAGATGGCATTATTTCAACATACACAACTGTTTTTATCTGTAAATGCTGATGTGATTGTTTTTTTCTTTCCTATCATATAAGCCTAAGACCATCTCAAGCATATAGATATTACATGTACAACAGTGACAAAATGTTAGTTGTATTTTGGTCAGACATTAGTGATTCAATAAATGGGCAAAGCAACGACTGTACTATGCCCATTTAGCAACAAGGAATTGTGATTTCGTTACACTTCCATCCAGCAGTATTATGTGTATTATTATTGGCTTGTTATATTTTGTTGGTGAACAAAAAACTTAAATGACGCTTATCGGGCTCTATACCAATTGAAGACTGCTTGACTAGTAAGGGCTATGCTTAGCAGCAACACTTGCAAATCCACCAAATTTTGGTACACTATCTGTTACAATGCTGCGACTCATCCAATTTTGTAGAGCCCAGTTTCAATGTGATCACAAATGAAATATATAACAGCACCCATTATAACCTATGAGCCAACCCGCTCTAACCCCCTGAGAGGCGTATTCCATTTTTTTCATTTTTATTAATAATAGATTAAAAATGAACCCGATTCACTTAACTCACGTATTAAATAGATTTAAGTTGGGTTATGGTAGGTTCGTTTGCAACCTAAAATTCATTTTAAATTTAAAAATAATTATAATAATTTAGTAATTATAATTTATGTTATTTTATCTCTCTACCTCTATTTCATGTCATCATTACAAGGTCAACTCTCAAGTTTATCATTAATTGTCTGTCGCACTACTGCCACTGCACCTAGGCAGCTTTACCATGCATTCACCGTACCATTGCACTACCATGTTCATTATGTTTGTCGTATCATTACGTTTCAATCACATCACAATATTTGTCACATTTTAGTCCCGCGTTTCAGTCATCACATTTGTTACACTACTGCATTTATTGTGCATCGTACTTCAATTGCACCATATTGTTTATCGCATTTTAATCGTGTCATAGCTTTTGTCGTATCACCGCGTCATTACGTTTTACTCTCGCGAATAGTATTTATTAGAAAAAAATAAATATAGATTAGTGAACTAACACACCAACTCATAATGAGTTTAGCCAGGTTGTGAAGATTCAGACATACCATAAAGTAAGTCGGGTTGAACTTATCTATTTTTAGCTCAACCGTAATATTGATTTACTTTGATACCATATATATATATATATATATATAATTTGACTAAATTAAATGCCTTCACCAGTAATTAAGTGAGCTCATTGGTTAAATTTACAATTTTTTTTTATTATGAAGCCATTGCATACTAAGGTTCCAAATGATCAATGCATGAAAATGTTGAATTTTTCAAAGATTAGTTTATGTTTTTAGCAGAGAATATATTTTGTTTGTTTGTATTAAATTGTAATGTTTCTTGTTTTATTAGTATCTAATATTTGAGATTTATGTTTTTTTTACAAGAGGTGTGTGGTCGTAATTACATAATAAGACTCTTCATTCTAGCTTTAGAATAAATTTGTTTAGTTGGAATTTGTAAATTTTCAAACTTGAAAGGCAAGGAAAACATGACCATTACATGTGAAAAAAATAATTAGATAACTTTTATTTTCTTCAAAAGTGACAACTTCCTTTGTTAATAAAATAATAATTTTTAATTTATTTTATTTTAATCATTTTATAATTATAATATTAATAAAATAAGTTGTAGATTAGATTTATTACTCTTATTTATATATATATATATATATATATATATATATATATATATATATATATATATAAAATAAAGCATGATAAGGGTTTAAGTTCCAATGACCGATAAATTTTAAATCTCCTTCGTTTAAAATTAAAAATAAGAGACAATTATATGAAAATTATACATCATTTAATGTTTAGTATTTTTGGATATTTATTAGTCCATTAAAGAAATCTTTGTTTCAAAACTTTTAATGAATTAAAGTTTTCTTTGAGAATTGTGATAATTCAACTTGTGAGTTATGATGAGAGTGTGATACTCTTTATTAAGAAGTGAAGTTTTATTTTGAGTTATTAGATGTTCAAAAGTGGTGATTCTCTTCTTCCTTTTGAAGCGACATAATTATACATATCTCTTCTACTCTATTTTCTTCTTTCATTTTACTTATTCTTGTAAATTTTGTAGTCTATATTTATTCTTGAGTCCATGTTCAATGCTAAAATGAAAATAAATTCCATACTCATATTTGAACTTATTTTATAACTTGAATAAAATAAATACATACTCATCTATGATTCATATTATTACTTATGTTTGATTCTAATTGAATTAAAAATTCTTTTGAAATGTGTGAGATACTTGAGAGTCCCAGAGACTGAGAATGCTTTCTTATGAAGCCTTATCTTAAATTTTTAAGAGATAAAATTAGTATTCCTCCACTCACTTATCTTTTGAAAGAATTATTGTTGAGAAAGTGTGAATTTGAAGTCTCACATTGGATAGAGATGGGAAAATTGAGTAATTTATAAGTGAAAAAAGTCCATGACTTAATGCCTTAAAGTTTTGAGTTGGGAGTGATGTCATATTCTCTTATATGGTTGATTCATGACTCATTTGTGAGAATTTATCTGTTGTTAGTTCCCTCGAAAAGATCAAACAATTATAAATTCTTTTGATAATTGTTAAAAATGTGTGGTTCTCTTAAAAGTGTGATACTCTCTTACGAATTTTTATTTTAAGTTCCAAAGAGTTAAATAAGATCATTCTTTTCTACTCTATTTAGTTCTTTTTTTCATTTAACTTCTTGTAATTTATTTGTCTATACTTTGTTTTGAGTTCATGATTCGAAATTCAAATAGAAATGAGTGTCATATTCATATTTGAACTTAGTTCATAACTTGAATTTAGCATAAACTCGTATATAATTCATATTCTTATTTATATTTGATTCTAATTGAATTCACATTCATAATTACATTGGATTTAATAGTTTTTACTCATATGTGATTTTAATTGAATTTGCAATCATAGTCACCTTAACTTTAATATATTGTAAGAGAAGTGTCAATATTTCACTTTCATACACACTTTTAAATTCCATAAAAAGATGTATCAATTTTGAGATGAAAGTATAGTCATAAAATATTTGAACAAACTTTTTCATAAGGAAAAAATAAGACAAAATAAAATATTTCCCTAAAAGTAAAATTTGTTTATACACAAGCTAAATTACATAAGCTCTTTCTTAAGCTAATGTGTATATAAGATCATTTTAACTAATGGAGAAAGTCATTTCATTTTTTGTCTTATTTTTCTATCCTAGAAGTCTTGATGAAAAATAGAACTTTTTATAAACATTCATAAAAATTTGTTCTAGAACATGATATAACCAAGTTTAGGAAAACATGAATAGTGAATAGATATTGAAATTTGATGTTGTTTGATATTTTCTATAGACTTATATTTAATGACAGTGGATAATATATAAGCACATAGATAATAAGATATTTATCTATCAAACATTCACATCTCAATAAAGATTATTAAAAATATTATTTTAAATTTGAGTTCATTTAATATTAATATTGTAGGTAAAAAACAAAGTTTTATTGAATTGTGTGTTCTTTTTATTTATAATTATGGAATTAAACTTATTTTAGTAAAACTAATTTTATTTAAATTTGTATTTGGTCCTATATTTTTTTTAGAGAAACTAATTTTATTTGTATTAATATGATGTAATTTAGTTCAAATTATACTTTAGGAAAATAAGAAATTATTTAAATTAATATTTTGAATAATAATTTTATTTAAAATTTAAGAGATACTAAATAGATACTTATGGATGTAAAAAAATATCCAAGTAATTGGTAAACATGTATTCAATAAATAATGAAGCATACTTATTTTATAAGAGGTAAAAAAACATCTTTGAATGCTTGAGTGAAGAATTATTTAGTTTCTTAATAAAGTTCAAATTAACTTTCATATAGAATAAATAAATCACTACTGCAGAAAAGACTTTTTACATCGGTTAAAATGGGCTTTCGACGTCGGTTAAAGCGGCGATATAGATACGGGGTCATAGAAAGTAAGGCTTTCTACGTCGGTTCCTAATAACCGACGTAGAAAGTAAGACTTTCTACGTCGGTTAATAGGAACCGACGTAGAAAACCCTACTTTCTTTGAGCTATTATGATCAGTCAAACTGGTTATGATCGGTCATAGAGCTATTCTGATCGATCATAACTGGTTCTGATCGGTCACGGAAAGACTTTCTATGTCGGTTAGTCGGAAATCGACGTAGAAAGTCTTATTTTGTATGAGCTATTCTGATCGGTCATAACTGGTTTCGATCGGTCATGAAGCTAATCTGATCGATCATAGCTGATTATGACTGTCGTAATACTTTCTATGTCGGTTAACACATATAACCGACATAGAAAGTCTTATCTGTCTATGTCGGTTAAAATTATAACCGACATAGAAAGTACTTTCTACGTCGGGTAATGACATAACCGACGTAGAAAGTGTTATTTTTTTAAATACCTGCATTTTATTTACGAGATGCTACCTTTCTTCGAGTAGACACTGCCTATTCATCACGGTTCCGGACAAATAACCACAGATCCAGTACGAGATAGATATGCACAGTTCATATATAAATTTGCTACAGATATATATCCAAGTACAGACAGATTCGATTCAGGCATGAGATATGTACATATGAAACACATTGAAATGAATATATGTACAGACAGATCCAGTTCCAGACAGTTCATTTACTTAAACGAATGTAAATTTCCTAACTTAAATCAATTCTATCTAAATTGTTACAAGTTAAATTTCCTATGAAGATTGAATGCTTAAATTTC